GAAGTCATTAAAGTTACACAGCTGTATCTTTATTACTGTACTACCGGTATAGCAACGCATATCATATATTTTAGATCTGTATTAGTAGTATCCTAGATATATGCTCTGAGCATGAACGCGGTGGCGGGATGGCACACTTGATTCGGTTGCCAGTGAGTTTATTAGAATAATGCCCGGCTACAGTACACGTCAGTTGAGCACTGTTGCTCTGCGACACTTGTTTAACACTGTCACACTGTTGAGTATCATGGATTGATGAAAATGTACTATCATGAGACCACTGCAAGGCCTTTGCAAAGCATTGAAGATATTATAGATTGAAGCCTGTACTTCTATGTATCTTGCTGTTTTGAATTGTTCACCACGTATCTGTTATAGTGTATGCTCCTTACATTTGATATTATAACAGAAATACGTTATGCAAGAATTTTCTTGACATTTTCTTTCTTATGCAGTGATGATGTTTCCGGTGACAAAGTTGCTTGAAAGTCGGCTACTGCAAAGCCAGGAGGCGAATCCGTGGTATGGGGTGAGTATTCACTACTGAGTATCAATGGTATTCATGCTAGAGAGTGAGTCAATAATTATTTTACAAATATCAAATTTATACAGTGTTATAATGTGTATAAAATCTGTTAGTTTTAAAGCTTTTCCTTGTGAGATGGAATGTTTGTGTGCCAATAACCAGTGGGTGAGATTCAGTACATGCCTGTAAATTATTTGAAACTGAGCTGAGTATGGTGCTAGATTAATTAATTTGTGTGTGTTTACACATATTAATTTGTCAAATTTTTCTCCGTTACAGAACCTAATGCGCTTGGTGCTGGTAGGCATTACAGGACTGACGGTCATGATTATTCCAAATTTTGCGAACCTGATGGCTCTAGTTGGGTCAACCTGCTGTACATTACTGGCTTTTATTCTACCAGGGTTCTTCCACATAGTCCTGTTCAAAGGGTATGTTTTATGTGTTAATATGATACTGTGGTTGTTTACACTTTTATTCTGTAGCATATCGATTATAGATCAATGTACACACAGTTGCTAAAAAGTGTAAGCCATGCTACATCATCTAAATATAAAATGTATTCACAAAATAGATTTGCAAATTGAATATTCCAGCTGTTACAATAGCGTTGAAACAATTTGTTCAACCACTCGATCAAACACTCGGTACTAGTTTACTAAGTTTACGTTTTAAAATACGTAGTTGTGTATATTATTAAAGTTTAATTTATTTTGTATTATGTAGGTCCCTAACAAGACGCCAGTATCTGTTTGATGTCGTTCTAATTTTTCTAGGCGTAGCTGGGTAAGTTTATTATTTTAAAACATCGTTATGTGTATTCAGGGATATAATTAAACACTATGCGTACATTCATAGGGATATGATCATGTTTTCAGTGCATTTGCAGGAATATTTGCGTGTTTTCGATCCACTCATAGAAACATGCATGTTTGATTTCAGTACGTTCATTGGAACATATGATACTATGAAGAGGATGGGAGCGTCGAGGAAGCCTAATCTAGTGATGATGCCCGATATATCACAGTTAAACAGCAGTCAACCACTGATGCTAAACCAGTCCATGGAAGCGTGATGACGTTTAGCTTGGTGGAATATATAACGTATATATACAGTAGGTGGGCTTATTTTATTATTCAGAAAATCTAGGGTGATCGCAAAAGATAAGCAACTCTTATAGAAACACTGTGCCATGAATTTGTAGTTTGGGGTTCTTGCGATTAAAGTGTGAGGGACGATGTCTATGTGATTTATTTATAAAAATAAGAGCTAGTTAACTAACTAGCATGCACACTAGTGATATGCAAAAAATTAAGTATCTGTTTCGAACTGTATTTGTCATTTAGTGCCTCCTTACTATAGATACAGGTTACTAGGTTGACCTTTACTAATTTGAGGAAGACCAACCAATTGCCATTCCCAAGATAGGATATTTGTTTATATGAAAATAGGTAACAAATGATGATTTTGATTAGCGTAGTATGTATGTCAAACTCTTAGTAAAATGAGGAATTTCAATGTAAACTACGTTTTTACATTTCACTGTCGTATGCTCTATGGGTAAATAGCGTGTAATACGATGTAATCAACATGCTGATATGTAAATCTTCGTATAAACAAAGATGCTAGAGATAAGGATGGGTAGACTAGATGCACCTTGCCAGGTAGAAACATTTAGCTTAGATGATCCTATTCAATCATGGAAATACGAATCAACATATTTGCAATGTCAGCTAGTGTATTTTTGGACGGATCTCTGTATAGTGCCCTATAGATCGATACGATTGGACAACGATGATTTTTTACAAGGTCGCGGTGGCTTCCAATTAATTATTTTCTAAATTTGTGACACTAACTGTAAACAGATAATTATTTAGCAGTACAGTCAAGTTAATCTTTTGGTTAAATATAAATGTAGTGGTCTAGTGTTATTATTGATGCCCCCTGATGTTTTCCACTGCTATTTTGTTATATGTCTAGATATCAATGTATTTCATTGTATTGTGATTGAGTATAGAACACCATTCACACGAAGGGCTATGGAGCAATTAAGCAGTTATTTTGACAGTATGATAGGGACTGAGGTGGGTGGAGGCTTTTAGGCAAATTATTATCATTGTATGTGTTTATATTCGGACCAGGCGTGTATGTGTATCCCTGTAAATATTAGCATGGGTGTAGTATGGCATTACTGCCGCACACTTATCAGGGACCAAAGTATAAATGCCGCCACAATAACAAGAAGGTTGTGTTGTTTGTTCAATTAGCATTTACAACCGTTACGTCTGTGACTTTGTATGCGTGGCTATAGAATCTGATCACAAAGTCGCCCTGGTGAATAGCAATATCTGACGCTGTCTGTAGAAGCTTTTCCTTGACGGCCATTTTTACGTCGAGTAGACCATCATTAATCTTTAGTTTCACACTTTTCTAGTATAGTAGTTGTTTTTAAATAGCGTACGCACCGTGCAGGGAACTATGATACATTAGCACGACCTGTTTTGCATGTGTCTTCAGAGAGATAGTTTTTTAATACATATATCAGTGGTAAGATCACGAGGAATATTTATCAGAGAAATGTCTTATCATCTTATTCGTTGATATATGTTCATTTCCCGGTGACATTCTGCTTATAATATACGTGGAATATGTACCAAGTGTAGCACGATAAAGTACGCAATGTCGGGTGTTATAATTCTCATTAATTTATCACAATTAAGCTAACAGTAGAGAGTTAACGTTTGTTTGATGAGAATATATCGAGAGCATATAAACTATAGTTTATAAACTTATAGTGTATATGACGTTGAATAGATCTATTGCAGTGTGATTTCATTTTGACGCGTCGTACTGAGACATATCCGTGTTGCTATTAGAAACATGTATAATATTGTGGTTACTATGTAAACCTGCGGAAAACATACTTTCTAGCATCTGTGGGTTCTTCTTTCGGTAAGAGTGGGTGGTTTTGTAAGATAATCTTATTATATTGTCAAACTGTATGTGTGTGTGTGAGGTTGTTGACAGGTAAAATAAAACATATCTATTTCACGTTTAGAATTATTATTCTTAGTTTTACCTATTATTCTTAGTTTTACCACATACATACACATGTCGTTTAGCAATATTGTGGTTCCACCACAGAGTCACCGCAGTAGACGTTAGATGAGCGCTGTCGCTCTGCGGCACTTGTTTCATTCATTTCCACCTAAAAATCTCGCTCAAAACTCGCTCAAAACTTGCACGATGTACGAATGATTCTCGCGCGATGTACAGATTGATTATCGTAAGAGCGCACAGCTATCACATGCACAAAACGTGAACACATAAACATGCGATGCGCTTGTACATGTATCGAGCGCTGCTCACATAGCGATTGCATCATTCCACTCGTATGCTATCACATGCTAAAAACGCACGACCGTGCACATGCATGATAGCAAGCGCGTATAAAGAAGGAGAGCATACAACGGTGAAATGCTGAAACCATGTTGCAGTATTAGTCGAATTAATAAACTTTCCCCGTTTTATTTTGACGATTCTTTGCAGTATTGATCAGCTGTCTTACCTTGTTCATATAAAACAAACCGCATGTCCCTACGATGCCTCTACGCTGAGATAATGAGCGGTGAAAATCTGGTATTTTTGCCAAAAACTGACTCGAGATCAGTTTTACTGCGACTGTCTTTCGTTTTGTGAACTGTATGTTGCTTCCGGTCGCCGCTGTGTAGCGCTGACTCGATACGTTATTACTACAGCGTTACTACATCCAGCGTAAGGGGCGGGTCATCACCATGGCGACAAATAACAAGACGTTTTTGTGGAGTCAATGACTGGAAATGCGAGAAAAGATAGTAGAAGGAAAATAAATTTTATTGTCAATGAATGACGGAAACACGCGAGGTTTCTTGAAGCTATCGCCAGAACGAGAGACAGTCGCAGCCACTACGTATCTCGAGTCGGTTTTCGGCGAAAATACCAGATTTTCACCGCTCATTATCTCAGCGTAGAGGCATCGTAGGGACAAGCGGTTTGTTTTATATTAGCAAGGTAGGACAGCTGATCAATAATACCACAACGAATCGTCAAAATAAAACGGGCAAAGCTTATTAATTCGACTAATACTGCAGCATGGTTTCAGCATTTCACCGTTGTACGCTCTCATTCTTAATATGCTCTTGATTATAGACAACAGGTTTTATAGTGGACTGCGTTGTTATCAAACGGGCCTTAGCTTAAGCCTAGCGCAGACTTGCAACTTTTTCATGCATCTCGGCAGCGATTCTAGAAACAATAGAACACGACAGTTTGTTACAAATAATCATAGCAACGAGTAAATACATTATCACATGCATAAACCCTACTGAACTGCATAGAAATGCTGTGTTTGAGCATAACTCTCATATCCGGCCAAATCAAATATCCGGATGGGTGCCGGTCCCGACGTGGCCGGATAAATGAGGTCGGACTATAAATAGATAATGGATTAGAGTAAA